ACAGGTCTGGAATGAGTCTGGTGTGTGCCTCATTCTATTATTCCTCGTTCCATTCCATTCCACATGCTCATTAGCTGCTGATGGGGAATTGGTTATTGCACAGCTTCACTCATCTGTTCCTCAGTTTTCTCTTCCTTCCAGCAGTTTCCAGGCATTTGGGTGAGATTCCTTTGCTGTGGAATGTTTTTCTTTAACTCAGTGTTGTAATTGGGTGATGTTAAAATGGAATCTGAGAATGGTTTGGGTTGGAAGGACCTTACAGACCACACAGTTCCGCCCTCATCTTTTCTCACCTTTATGACGTTCTTCAGATTTGCCTGTAGTTACACATTTGATTGGATGGGATATAGGGAAGGAATCCTTCCCTGTGAGGTGCTGAGGCTCTGGCACAGGTTGCCCAGAGCAGCTGTGGCTGCTCCATCCCTGGGAGTGTTCCAGGCCAGGTTGGATGGGGCTTGGAGCAGCCTGGGCTGGTGGGAGGTGTCCCTACCCATGGCAGGGGGTGAAATGAGATGAGCTTTGAGATCATTTCCAACTCAAAGCTGTCTGGGTCTCTGTGGTTCCATGTGACCCCTGTTCTTTTGGGGGCAGTGCTGTTAGAGGCTAAAGAAAACTGAGCTTAAACCTTTGCTGAACTGCCGGCTGAGCTTTAGATAATGCTGGGAGTGCCAAGGCTTGGCTGGGTAAGGTGAGAACTGAAATTTAGCAGCAGGAGTAGGAGCGTCCGTGGCTGGAAGCAACAGTGGTGCAGCCCAGGACTGGTGGTTTGGCCCTGGGCACTGACTCCTGTCAGCTCAGATAGTCTGTGTGCTGTGTCCCACAGTGCTGAGAGCCCATGGGCTGCTGAGGCATGGAGTAAACACTGCTAAGGAGTAGTTTTGCCCTGAAAAATCAGTCCTATGCCTTTGAAGCAGGCTGGGAGCATCACAGAGCTCTCTGCTCCCTCCCCTGACCCTGTCCTGGCCACAGGCAGGAAGAGGAGGGAACTGGAACTGCAGCACTGGCTCTGTGTGGGATGGGGTGAAAAAGAAACAGCCTTGAAATATTGTTTGCTAGCAATAACAAAGGTGGAACTGTCAGTTCAGTGGAATGATGTTTACTAGGGGCAGAAGTTCTCCAAAGGCACAGTATGCTCCCTGGTGCTGTAGTAATCCCAAACCTCATGAGCAAGAGCACTTTTATCCTCTCCCCTCCTCCTCAGGGTTGTTTTAGAAACAAATGTGGCTAAATTGGATCCTGAAACACTGGAGGTGGGTGGGAGAGGGTCTGTGTGGCTCAAATCTGGGTTTAGTTCCAGCCCAGGTTGTGTTCCCTTCGGACCAGAAGCTGATATTGCTCTGTGCCATCAAACTCCAGAGTCTATTTGTATTCCAGCTCCATTCATTGCAAAGGCTTTGCTTTATGAGCACCAAGAGCTAGAAAGCATAAATATTTATTCCTTAAAGGTTAAGATTGCCTTAAATCATTGCAGCTGATTTGGGGAGCAGCAGTGGTAATTAAAAGAAGCAGTTGAAGTCGATCTGCATGTGTGAAATAAATATATATGTGTGTGTACTTGACTCTGGTGCTGATGGAAGCTCTGGGGTAATTGCTGCCATCACGTCAGAGGATGCACTGGTATTGTTCCTGGGTTTGATAATAAATCAACATAAAGAAGCAGCTGAAGTTCTGTGATGGCAAGTCACTTTCAATAGGCAGCACAGGCCGTGGGAAGAGTGAGCAGAGCTCAAAGCAAGTGCTGTGAGTTCAATTAGAGGGGGATAATTATGCACAATGTGGAAATTTTTTCTGTTTTGGGTGTAGGG